CGAAAATGTTGGCACGTGTCACATAAATCCGTTCTTGGACTCATAATTTGAATATAAGGCGTTAATTGGTGCCATAATTTGCGGAACGCATCATACTTTAACAATTTCAACGTGCTATCGTTTTCGAGACCTGCAATAAAATCTCGATAAACCGACTTGTAACTCATTTCAGCTGGCAATAGTGTAAGCGATTGAGTAATGCGATTGACGTTTCTACCAGGACTTGGTAATCCGCTTATTTCAGCATAGTTTTCAAGAAAATTCTTCACGGTGGTAGCAATGGATATATTGATGGTTATTTTGGTTTTCCATCGTGGCATTCGTTTTATGTTACCATGAACGCGTGGTAGAAGACCATTCTTTAGAAGATGATTTCTGATATTTTCAAAATAATTGCGGCCAATGCCAAGCGTATTGAGGTACGTTTTTTGACAAATAAGGGTATTACGATTTCAGCAGTAGACAGTTCTCTTGTTAACCCGAGTCTTGTTCCTTGAGACGTCGACTAGTATTGATCGCTCCTCCATCCATAGATCTGAGTTGGGCCATTAAGAAAACGTCTTGTTCGGGTTTTGTTAGCGCTTGAAAGTCTTCTCGCAGTTCAGCAAATTTTTCCTTGGGTATTTTGGTCGAGCAACCGCAACCACATCCCACTTCCAGGAAATGGAGAGCTTTCTCATATTCGTTCATAATTGTGTCGTCTACCATATATATATTATATATATATATTACGCACAGTTTGTCTGATTTTGGTAATATCGTGTATTTATTGCGTATTATACATAGGAGTAGCTGTATATAAAATTGAAATATATGAAACTCATCTATATTAGATCCACTATGGTGCCCAAAAATTACAGCACGTTACGGTCCCTTTTAAAGCAAGAGCAAGGCGAAAAAATTGCTCCTTACATTTTCAAACTAAAAAGCACGCAGACTATCAAGGACTATCTGGACCAAGAAACGATAATCTATGAAGTTTACCAAGAGGAAAGTATTGAAAAGCCTCCAAAGCGAACACTGGACGAACCCTTTCAAAAACCAAGAAAAAAAAGAAAAATAGAGGATTAATAAATTATAGGTTGTCTATTTAATCATAGCGGTAAATATTTATGTAGGGATGGCTATACATATCAATATTTATCATAAAATAGGATGCGTTTACTTCAAGTGGCTTGCGACGGGAACAAACCACGTCACGAGTCAAAAAAAAATTTTTTGCCGAGCGCAACACAATTCAACATCACTCCCTCCTCCCTCTCCCTTCCTTCCCCCTCTTCTGACTTTTTACCCCAGCCATTTCTTTGTAACGTACAGTGCCATTCTCCCTGGTAACGCCGGTTACTCGCTTCACGAAAAGTTAAACCGCGATAACAATGCTCCCGCCTGTAGTGACAAAGAAGCTCAAGTACCCCAGTAAGCAAGCCTGTTTAGTTGACCAACTACCACTAACAGACTTTAACGCGAATATCTTCCCACCAGATTACTGGGATAAGCCGCTTAAATCATGGGGGAACCTCCTAGATCGGGATATATTTTTCGCCGAGGAAGTACCCGGGGCGTCATGTAGGCTAGCCCATAAGACGTTTTCAAGTGAACTTAAAGTTCTTGTCAATCACTTGCCGGAAGGAAGCCGTGCAGCAAAGAAAGCAAAAACTTTGATGAAGCAGTTTCAGGTCAGTCATACCAATTATTGGTGTCGTTCTCTTTAGGATAAGTTTGCTCTGGCATCAGTGATTTGTGCTACGCCCGCAACACTGTTGATTATCTGGGTGACTATTACTCATCTGGATGTGGAAGAAGAGCGTCGTAGTCTTAGATTATGGCTCCCTACCCCCCAGCCAAAATCACACTGCGACGTGCATGTGTTGCTGCATGTCAGAGGCGTGCAAGCCACACCCTGCGATATAATCGAGCGACGTTGTCGCGGAAGGCTACATACTAGCCTGAAGTGGGGAGCCAACTATGGTCTTGAGACGTGTGTCCCACCATAGTACGCGCGGCTGCACCATCAACTTTTGCTTATAATGGAGATACACTTACAATTATATTTTCTCTGTAGAGCGGTAAACGTGATCCAGCCATCTCAATGGTTTGGAAAAATCATCGAATGTCATTAATGAATTGCGCTGCTACAACGAAAGTCAGCAAGGTAAGGGCTTCTCAATTTTTCCCCGCCTTTGCTGCATACTTTCGTATTTTCTTTTTGATATATTCATAATTCATTGCAATTCTTAGCGTAAATTGGAGAGTGTAGCCGTTTCTGCAGCGGTCACAGTTGCAGAAGCCCATTTCAATCGGGATGCTAAAAAGCTTAAGCTTGATGGCTGTACCGATTACGAAGTAGTTGACACTGGCACCATCAGTGACACAGACAATGATGATTTGATTGATTACAAGATCCCTTCCTCCACTCATACTGACGCTAAGCCAGAGAGACCCGAGAGCCCTGACGATCCTGACGAACAACTGGAAATAGATTTGACGACCATTGAACAGCTTGTTAAGCAAGAAAATTTAACTGATGTATGTGACGGCCTGAACTTGATTCATTTAAACTCCTAATACTAATTTGTTCTGTGCTTCAGTGGGAGGTTGGCAATATCAACGTCACAAATTTCGGCAGTATCAATTAAGCGTCATCGAAAAAGTCAGGCATTCTGGGTTAACTTGGAGCAATTCGTACGAGATCCTGTGAGCATTTGAGATATTGAATGCAAAGGCAAACTTATATTTTTACTAATCTATTCCTTTTCAGTGCCTTATCATCGATCATTGTTCTTTCCCCCCAATGTCCATACCCAAACTTTACGGGACATGAATGGCGTAAGATTATTGCTACCAATCCCTTTATTATCGAGCATCCGATTGTCCCGCCGTCTATTTCTAGCGCATTGCTCGAAGCTGGTAGGAAATACGCTCTTGGTCTCGATGGTTATATGATTGCTGGCGATTCCGAACTAAGCAGGATTGCGGCCCGGTCCTTTAATGAGCTGTAAGTTGGTTTGTATTTCAGCTTATCAAATCTATCAAGTTCACTCAACTTTATCAATGAATTTCAGAATGAATATCCCCGTTACTGCCCCCACCAAGACAACAGAGGAACTCCACTGTGCTCAATATCTCTATCCCGTTTTGCGACCTGTTTTCTTTCAGCCGCTAAAGGATATGAGGTTCGGTTGAACAGTTCTGTGGCGGGAACGAAACAGCGACCCGACTTCTCTTGCGTTGTGGATAAGATACCAATCCTAAACTCAGAGTTTAAGCCATTGGGCTATACACCACTCCAACGACGAAAAGATTTCATCAAGGTGCATCTTCGAGGAAAGAAAGCTATCAACCAACAACTCTGTGCAAGGGGTGGCCCAGGGGAAGCAGCTATTTTTATGAACATGGGTATGTATTGATGAACCGTTTGTCTCTGTATACATTCACTGAATTTGTATATGTCATACGATTTAGGGGACATGGTGGAATCGTTCTTTATGGACCTTAAGTTTCCCGCCCTCTATCGCACATGGCCATTTCACATAACCAAACTGGTCACTGATAGGGTCTCGATTCCACTTGTAGAGTCAATATTCTGTCATTTTGTGGCCCTGGAGGTGGGCACCATCCTCGCACTTAAATTGCCTTTTTTGCTTTCAAGAAACTCACGCCTCCTACATCCACAGAAAAGAATGAACGTGATCGCGGAGGACTTCTCCAAACGGAGTACCCAATTCACTCCACCCCAGCAGATGACATTTATTACTGAACTTCTAGAATCTCCACAAATAAAGCACATGTTAGCATGATCAGCATGATATAGTCTTGTTTCCTATGGGCCAAAAGATGAGAGGCAGCTATCGACAATGCGAGTTGATATTGGTGATTCCTAGCGGTAGAGATCCAGAGGGAATTCGCTTTAGTATTTAATTGAAGAAATGATTAGCGCTGCTAACAGTTAGCGTTAGTAATTCTATTACATAAAGGCGATGCAAAATTGAATGTCAAACAATGAAGTTTGTGATTCTTTGGGATCAGTTACATGAAATAATTACAGTAATTCGTGGGATGAGAATATAGACGCTAGAATTAAGGGATAATAATGAATAAAGTTAATAGTGAAATGCGATGATATTCTCCTAAGGAACTGTGCACGATAGTCGAGTCTTTTTTTTCTTAGAGAGCTTCTCTACCTTATTCATAGTTATTCATAGTATTTATAGCGTCCCATCAAAACGTAAGGTAACCAGGAAATAATTCGTTATCCAACGGTATCGATATCGTTAATTTCTAAGCATCCACCTATAAAACATAAATAAAATGTAGCACTTTTAGAATCTCCTTTTTAATAGAATTTTTATAACGATAAATATTTAGTTAATTTATTGGAAAAGTTTGCATTGTACAAACTAAATTTTTGCAGTTATCCCATTCTTTTGTGCGCCACTGTATAGTTGAGAACTGAACCAATTGATCACTCTGAATATCTTGTCTTATCAAAATACTTCCTGGAACGTCTAAAATAATATAAATATTGTTAATATATTACTAAATAACAAATCGATAAAGTGGGAGGCTGCTCAGTCAATAGTGTACTTGTAACAATCGTGACCCCCGCCATTTTTGTCTCTCTACTTGTTTTGTCTGTCTACCATTTTGTGTCTTCCATTTTTAGTCCTTGGTTCAGAATAGGAAAGATCATGCACATGAGATACATTGTATGCCTTATGCGCCACACATGATTCAGTAGTCACATGATCACCTTATAGTGATAAGAAACATGTATAAATGTCCCCTCTTCACTTCTGACAATAAAGCAGTTCCAATACTTGATTCAGTTGTCTTTCCATCATATTAAAACCCTTATCTGGTTTAGAAAGCATCTGTTTATTGGGACTTACCCTAGAACCAAGGTTTCCTGTCTTATTTCTATAACCTTGCTTACATGTTACAGTACTGGAGAACAGCATCCAGGATACAGCCTGGACGATGGCATGTAGGAGTCAAGGCCTTTAGCACACATGCTCAAGGACAATCCCACAGACCGCACCAAACATCTAACGCAGGACATAATGGCCATATGCAGTATGTAATAAGCCACACACTTTCCCTTGAAAATGATAGGCACTATATCTTTCCTCGATTTGTGTCTTTGCTTAAGAGAGTATAAAGAATGAGTTTGTTGGATCAAGACGCGGAATGGATGAAAAAATTTTTTCACCCAGCGTCAAGCCATCAGTGATGTCACAAATTCAGCACACCCCATATGCATCAAGATTCACCATGGAAATCTTGGTGTTCCTAAAATAATTTGTAATACCGCACTGTGTGTATAATAATAATGTTTTTCGAGACACATTCTCAAAAGGGTTGGACCGGCAATAAAGGATATTCACCAAGAGCAAAGGTTGGTGGGTTATGCTTTTGGAAGCAGAGTGCTCAAGTTGAGGTTAAAAGGTGACCTTGATTAAAAATAAGGAAGTATTAAAAAATTAAAAGATGCCCGAGTGACGTCAAATGTTCACTTTGTCTGGTTTTGTTGCAGCATGCCCCATATGAAATTGCAAGTCAATCAAAAATTTTGTGAAATGTTCGGTGACTGCAGAGGTATGATTTTGAACCGTTATATGAATTCAGTTTTAGAGTATGGAAAGTTCTTAGAAAATGGATTTGATTCTCAGTCAATCAACAATATTGAAGCAAAACTGCAACGGCTCTTTTGTGGCAGCCCTCATCCATCCAGCTTAAATTTGTGCTCTGTATATACAAAAATTTGTAAGGCTTCTTTTTCTTTGAATTCTGTTCTGGCAAAGTATTTATTATTGTTGAACTAATGATATCCAAACTATATAGCATTGATTTGTGGAGGCAGAACCCAAATCCTCTTATGGATTCTGACATGAGTGAAGACACCCAACTTACACTGGTGATTGCACCAATCTTCTGACATTTATTTAGAGATAGATATTTTGTCAA